GAACTTAAATATACAAGTTTGATAAAAAATCGTCATTAAAGAAGAAAATTTCAAATGGCATTCAGAGGCTTTTGCATCTGAACTCTTCATATACACACACACACACACACACACACACTACTGTTAAAGATTGTTGATTTTTTTGTATAAGATTTTGAAAAATTATTATAATTTCACAATTCTAATTATTTTAAATTGCAATCAAATTTATAAAATGCCATTTATTCATGTGATGCCAAAGCTGAATTTGCTGGCCTATGCTGTATCCTCTTATGTTATCCTGCTTGGTGATTTCAATATCCCATTTGACTCCCCCTTGTTCTAGTACCAATGACCTTGCACTAACTTTGGATAATTGCAGTCTTGTACAACATGCCAACTTTTCTACTCACTGCTGTGGTCACACACTTGATCTTGTTTGCACTTCAGGAATTAATAATGTCTCTGACTTTGGCTCACAAACAGGTATTTCTGACAATAAGCTGATAACAGTTAGATTTGATTTCCTTCTTCCTAAACCTAAACCTTCCTAAACCTCCTAAACCACTATTAATTATCACAATGTTAAAACTCACCAGCTAAAATATAAAAGTCTGCTCTTAATGTCACATGCACAGTATACCAGTATACTGTTAACTCTTTAACGCACCATATGGCTCAGTTGACCTCCGCAACTCCTTTCTCCACTTTTTGTGAAACATTTTCATCAAACAGATGTTTCCTCTAACTGGTCATCACCTCAGCCCATAAAACACATCCTCTTTAGATTTACTCTTATACCATCCCATCCTCTGTTAGTGAACTAATTGCTCAAGCTACTTATCTACTTGTCATTTAGATCCAGCACCTCACTTCATAAAAGCTGACTATCTGTTATCTCATCTCCTATTGCTCATTTGATCAACTGTTCTATTTCTTCTGGGTCTTGCTGTGGTCACTTCAGTTTTAAAGAAACCAGGGCTAGATTCTTCTGTTAGGAATAATTTCAGACCTATATCTAATCTTCCTTTCATTTCTAAGCTGCTTGAGAAAGTAGTTGCCTGGCAGCTACAAGCTCATCACTTTGCTAACAATATTCTTGATCCCCATCAATCTGGCTTTCGGTCAGGCCACAACACTGAAACAGCATTGGTAAAAATTACTAATGACCTCCTAATATCTGCTGATTTTGGTTGTCTTTTTGTTCTCATAATGCTTGACTTAGTAGCAGCCTTTGACACTGTACCTCATCAGATACTTACTTCTCAGTATCACGGGTAGTGCTTTATCTTTGTTTATATAATTTGTATATATATTATATATATGTATATATTTGTATATAATTTGTATATATCATATCATTGATAGACAATGTTTTATTTCTATTCAAAACTTCAAATCTTTAATTTGTTTCCCTCTCTCTCAAGGTGTCCCTCAAGGCTCTGTTCTTGGACCATTTTTGTTCAATATTTATTTGCTACCTCTTGGTCACATTATCCATATAGTTATAGTCTCAGCTATCAACTGTTATGCCGATGACTTGCAAATTTACATATCAGCTTGCTCTGTCAGTTCGCGCTTTATAAATTAAAAAAAATTATTTTTATTTATAAATAAAACGTATTACTCCAGTCTTCAGTATCACACAATCCTTCTGAAATCATTCTATTATGCTGAATTGGTTAATATTATTATTAATATTATTACTTCCATTACTATCAAAATCAAATTCGCAAACAAATTCCAACAAAGTACTACATTAGCAGGCTAGATAACGTTACCTTGGATACATCTATCAATTACCATAATTACATAACATAAATACATCAAACTAAACCAAATGTTTACAATGAACATAAGATCTTACACTGGCCCCCCGAGTCATCCTTATCGTTGAGCCCTGCACTCATACGATTACATATTGAGCCTAAATCAGAAAATGTCTAAACGATTTGCAATCTATGTCCGACCAGACATAATATATTTAATGCATTTTCCTCCTTAACTTGCGAGGGTGTCATGGTGGGCTAGGGTTGTCTGAGACTAGGTGATAGACGGTGCTTTTACCATCAGACTGAGAATAAACTATGACCCTGAACGGACACATGTGATCTCCTTTTTTCCTTAACATTCTTAAAAGATGAAATACAGACCGCCCCATGTGTGTGGAGGGATACCAGAATCAAAGGGACCTGCAAATAGACTGATATGTAAAAACTGTAGTCGAGTTGCATTAAGAAACATATATGCAGGTTCGCTGCCAGAAGCATGTGCATTACTTTGGGCGATTTCAAGGTAAGGGTCTGCATGCTCCGATGCAAAGGAAAAGCTATATGAGCACCTGTTTACACACCACAAATTCATGTTCATACATTCTAAATCGATAACTTTACATATGAGGTCATTCACACTTGTCAATAATGATATGAGCTGAATCACTCGCAGCTGCTTGATCTTCCTGTTTGTTTCATAAGAGAGACAAATGTAATATGTTTTTAACTATACAAACGAATGAATTGAAGAAAAACGAAGGGATAATATTAGGGCTGGACAAATAATTCAATGCATCATGATGCATCACCTATACGGACCTACTGTATATTCATTAAATAACACAAATAAATATGACAAATATTACAACATATCTGTAAAAGTGGCAAAAGTGTACAATTGTCATAATTATTATTTTTAATATTATAATTAAGACATTTTATCTAATAATTATGATTTTGTATTACATAATTATTACCATAATATATCATAATTCTGATTTACCAAAACTGACTGGAACTGTAGGAGATAAATTCAATAAAAATACTGATAAAATGACTTCATCAATGCAATATTGAGAAAAAAATGCTTTATAATAATATCTTATAAGATTTGCACAGCTCAGTCCCTCCAGGATTTCACAATTTTTTTTTGTGATTTTTGCGATCAAAATGACTGATTTTGTGGTGGTAATTTCCAAAAATTTGTGAAAAAATTTGCGATTTATATATAAGATTTACCATAATAGTATTCAGTCCTTCCAGAAAAACGCGGAGTTTTTTTGTGATTGTTGCGGGCAAAAATTGATTGATTAGCCTGCTCGGCCCGTTTTCTTTGAAAATGCGATGGAATATGCGGGATATTTATGCAATTTTATGCGATGAAATTGCAGGAATTTGCAAAAATTGAGAGAACTTGCAAAAATTGCGGTTTGATGAAAAAGATTTCTCTTTTTCAGTGATTCCCCCAACATCCTGTTCTCACTAGGCTAATGTAAGAGTCATTTCTTATTACTTCCTTTGATAAGCAAGCATACTACATCATAGAAAGTGCTGGGAATATTTAATTTCTCATCTTGTTTTATTTCAGACTATAATGAGTGTAAATAAGGTGTGGCCCCTTTAAGAGCTGCGCACTCCCTGTTGAACTCTCTGCAGTGTTATATGTGCGCCTCAAACGCCCAATGTGTGCGGGTAATTTCTGTTTGATGCTACTTCTTTTATCTTATGTTGTTTATTAAGTAACGATGTGACGGTAGAACGTGTGAGACAGTTATACGAGTTCGATTTGTGAGATGTCAATCGCCTCCGTGAGTCTGTCCGGCGTCGCGTAATTGCGTCACTTCATAACGTTCCCATGGAAACAGAGGGAAATGGCTGCTCTTGTGTGAAGCAAACAGAACATTTTTTAACTTTCTTCTAAAATACACGTGACTTTTTTTTGCAACGAAAATGCGAGGATTATGAAATTATGCAAACCCCGCATATTTTGCAAGGAAATCGGCAATTTATGCGGCGAAAGTGCGGCGTATTTGAAAAAATGCGGCCCCCGCATAAATATGCGGACTTCGGCTGATTTTGCATTGAATTCAGCGATGCATAATCGCGTTTTTCTGGAGGGACTGTCAGCTCTACACTATAGTTCAAAAGTTTGGAGTCCTTAAGACATTTAAGTATATTACTCATCAAAGCAGCATTTGATCAAAAATACAGTAAAACTGTTCTGTCATGATAACTCTCGAAGGGTTTGGCATGGTATGTTAATATGTTTGGTCTTAGAGAAATAGATCTGCTATACTACACTGCTGCTGATGTCATTGCTGCTTACTTGCTGTGAGCAAGTAAGACATGCTTCTGCTGTACAATATAGCGTACATGAATTACCTGTAGCAGATCTATACAGGTGGAGCTGGGGAAGGTGGATGGTTTCTGAACGGGCACTGCAAACTTTTACACAGACGCTGGCCAAGTATTTGAAAGTTGGGCAGCAAGCTCATTGGCTGCTGATATAGCAAGGTCCAATCATTATTATTTAGTGAAATCGTTACAATTTACAAAAAAAAAAAAAAAATGTTTTAAAATGTATTTTATTCCTGTGACGGCAAAGCTGAATTTTCAGCATCATTACTCCAGGATTCATAGTCACATTGATACTAATATGCTGCTTTGGTGCTCAAGAAACTTATTATCAACAATGTCAAACATTTGTGTTGCTCATTACTTTTGTGGAAACAGTGATTTTTTTTTTCTCTCTCTCTTTCCAGGAATCTTTGAGAAATAGAAAGTTCAAAGGAACAGCATTTAGTTGAAGATACATATTAAAAAAAGGCCACCAGTAGACACTATATATAATTTAGCATCCATATCATTTCTAATATAGCATCTATATTGGGAAGGATAATATTCAGAATAGTAATACTCAGTTTGACATTTCAAATTGGCGTAATCTTCAAACTTTGGTTATTCTTGATATGAATGCGCACATGAACACATGGTTTAAGAGGTGAGAATGAGATTATATATATATATATATATATATATATATATATATATATATATATATATATATAAGAGATACAAGAATTACAGGCGTTGTCAAATAGATGTCAAACAAGCAGGAAACATTTTAACATTTTAAGACATGCATGTCATTGGTTCTCCACCACAAGCAACCTTAAAACCCCTTCATCTGTCATAAATGTGCTGTGATGTCATATTTGAGGTATTTGGGTGGAGAAACTGCTTCGGTACCTTTGGTTGCAGGTTTGGATGGAGCAGCACGTAACCGTTAGGGTCGATTGCGAAATAATATCCATTAGGACCAATCTGAAATAAACAAAACAGAAAAAAGCAGAATAGTGAGGACACATCGAATAAGAAGACCACCATCAAACCAAAATCCCTGCTTAGACCAAATGGACCTGGTTCCTCAGAGATGCGGTGGTTAATCCCTCACTAGCGGGGTACTGTCTAATATCCCCTGAGAGCGCCGACCCGAACTGTCAATCACCCCTGAGCACTTAGCGTTAATCAAATGTGTCGGTTCATCTGGAAACATTCCTCTGAGCTTAACAGAAAATCACAACCATTTACAAATCAAATGTAAGTACAAACAGATGTAATGTACAAGGGCTTACGTCCTCTTAAGAGCGATCTTACTGTAAGGAGGCGAAACCGCAAGACGGCAGACCGCAGAACAATAGCACATTTATTTTATGCATGCCGTGTTTTCTTATTACAGCGACTCAAAGAGTCTGCAAAGAAAACATCTAACACATGAGTTTCACTTTGTTCCCTTATAAATCGAATTATTTCGTGTTCAAGGAACAGTTCACCCTAAATTAAAACTCGTCGCCGTTCGTCGCCCTCACGCCGTCCCAAAACCAGATTTTCTTTTTTCAAAAGGTTTTTTTTTTCCCCCATGCAATGAAAGTGAATAGGGCTGTCAAACACCAAATCCTAGAAAAAAGGTATCATAAAAGCCTCATAAAATTAGTGTGTGTGATTTATGTACTATTCCAAGTATTTTGAAGCCATACAATTCTCACACAATTCTTGACGTCAAACTGGTGCGACACATTTGACACTTTATATTTTATTCTACACTAGCCTACTGTTAAAAATGTTGCAGCTGGTAAGATTAGTAAATGTGTAGAAGACTATAATATATATTTGATTAAAAATACCATAAAAACAATCATATTGTAAAAATATGATTTTTTATTTGAATTTATTTTAAAATGCAATTTATTCCTGTAATGGCAAAGCTGACTTTTCAGCATTATTACTCCAGTCTTCAGTGTCACTTAATGTCATTTTAATATGCTGATTTGCTGCTGAAGTAAAATTTCTTTTTATTAACAATATTGGAAACAGTCACACACCTTTGACTAATTGAATGTGTCCTTCCTGAAAAAGAAAAAAAAAAAAAAAAATACTATAAACTTTTGAACAGTAGTGGACATGGAAGTAGGCAGTTTTTTGGTCCTATTGTTGTCTTGAGTCATAATTATTTATGTATGCAAGTATGTCGGACAGGAAATGCAAATGTTTGCATATCAACCATCGACCTCAAAACCTTTCTTGGGCGCTCACTTTTACGTTAACCTAGATACATCTTTGCTATTATTAGGCGCATATTTAGTGTGGTGCGATCAGTTGCATTTTTTTCCAAACAACAGCGGAAACAACGTCTCGTTCCCTGAGTACAGGACGAAAGGGAACTTAAAAATACCCAGTCATATTGGTCATACAGGTAAGAAGAATGCATAACTCAAAAGTGTACTTTTATTTGGGTATTTGGGTCACATTAACATCAAATTGTGCTTTTGTAAAATTAAGAAAACAAACAGGATGCACTTTGCTTTCTGCCGTCTCCGTGGAGCGCATTACAAAAATTAACCGAAACTCCGCGTATAGGCATCTTGCCAACCATGCATGAGTAATACGTCTGTAGAAAGCTTGAAACGTCTACTTTGAAACAAACCGATTCAAATTGAAAAGAAATACTCTCTACTTATGTAATCCATATGAAAGTTGCATTTCTCTCTATACAGTAGGTGTTGTCCACTACACAGCCGCGATGGCGAGTCAGCATCATCCTCATATTGGCAGACGATACCGACTCCTAAAATACTGGTTTACTAATAAATAATTCAAATTTCTCCTTGCAATTTTCCCCCGACACATTCATAATGGTCATTAATTTTGCTGGCGCTTTGCGGTAAGCTTTATGCGTGTGCTTGACCACAGAAGAGGCTATATTACGCCTACTGTATATATTAAAGACCCATTATGGTTTAGTATTCTCATCAGTATATATTTAAATAATTTAATTAATATAAATGTGCTATTATTAGAAAAGCATTCAGTCGGCACAGTCATTAAAGGAGGTAAAAAAAAAAAATGAACCCTTTAAATAGGTCCCTTTTTAGTCTTTTTATGAGACTGGAACAACAACCAGATTGAAATCATTTTTGTTTTGGGTACTCACTGTGAAGCGGGGCGTCAATCTTTTGATATCATCGAGAGACACATCCACCCCCATCACTCCTAAAATCAACTGGTTCTGATGCTAAAAGAGAAATCAAAAACACTAAGTTTCCACTCTGACAAGTGACGGAGAGACATTTACAAACACATATGGGTAACACTTTATTTCGATAGTCCTCTTTAGACATTCTACTAACTATTAGGGCTGGGTAATAAATATCGATTTCTCGATATTAATCGATTCTCATTTTTACGAACCGATATCGATTCTTAAATCTCAAGAATCAATTAGTCATCCTGTTTCATTTGAATGAATGGGACATTGTATCGCGGCTGCGCGCATCCAAAAAAATCGCATTAATCTTTGTGCTTTGTTACTACTGATATGAAACAAAGTCTCAAATTTCAAATTATGTCCATTTTCTTTAGAAATTCAAAAACATAAATTATCGTTATCGTTATATTTACCTCAGAAAACCCACATAAACTCGTTAGTCAGCTAGAAAAAATAACCCTAGAGAGGAGCATTTTGCTAAATATATATACTATATTACATTTGCATTATAATCTTAATGTTCTTCAATATTTAATGCATATTTGAATAAATCTGGCAAGTTTTTATGACAGCCACCATTTAAATGTTTATATTTCATATAATCTTCTCATTATAAAAATAAATAAAAGTGTAATTTAAGTGTTTGTATAGCTACAAAACAGTTAATTATTACCTTCATATTAGGCTAATGAAGCCTAGTAGGCTACACCTAGACTCCCATAGTTTACAGCATTAGTTAAGAGATTTGATTTCCTTGAGAAAATTTGCCATTTATTATAACTGATATCCAAAATAATCAATATTGAATCGAATCAGAATCGAAATCGAATTGCAAGCTTGTGAATCGAAATCGAATCGAATTGTGAAATTTGTGTCAATACCCAGCCCTACTAACTATAAGTAACTTTGCAACTACATGTCAACTAACTCTAAACAGAGTATTAGTAGACGCTATAGTATTAGTAGATGCTTAATATCTGCTAACACTTTATTTTGATGGACCTCTAACAGACATTTTACGGACTACAAGAAACAAATCAAGTAGCAGTCAACTTATTCTACTAACCCGAACCTACAGTATACTACTACTCTAATTAGAGTTAGTTGACATATAGTTGCAAATTAATAAGAGTTAGTAGAACAACAACATTCAAACCTTTTTAACTTGGCAAAAATAACCACTATGAAAGATTGCAAAGTTAAAAAGTGTCACATCTAAATTGCTTCTCGTCATCCACCAGAAACTAAATATTAAACTCAAAGAATCCAGTGACGCAGTCAGTGAGCGGAAAGTAATGGCAACTTTCAGAGGGTCAAGCGGTTTACTAGAAAACGTACCGATCCTTTGACCTCCAACTGGGAAAGTGTAGGATAAGATACTCTATTATATTTATTTTCCATATCTGTTACTATCGTCGTGTTCCTAAGAAGGTCACTGTCCGCATGGTTAATACATTCAAGAGATAATGAAGTTTACACGTTTGCGTCAGTAGTAGCTTTATCCCCATTAAATGTGACAAAAATAGAAGTTTGTTCCAACCATCGAGCTATTAATAGAGAATTGGGTTTGTTAATGACACATCTGGTGTTCTGTTCTGTGTTCATTCGAATGTTATATTCCTGCTTCTGACTTGTAGGGCACAATCAGAAATGTTGAAATTGTTCGTTCAGTTAGAAACCTGTGTTATATATAAAAATATATGTGAAAAGTTCAGATGCAAAAGCCTCTAAATGCCATTTGAAATTTTCTTCTTTAATGATGATTTTTATCAAACTTGTATGAACATCAAAATCATCATTAAAGAAGAAAATGTCAAATGGCATTTAGAGGCTTTTGCATCTGAACTCTTCATGTATACACCATTTTTTTTTTCTATATTGACCACTTTGTAAGACGATATGCAAACCTTTTACAAAAACATTTTACATTTATTATTTAAATAAACACATTTTAAAAAATACATTTTGAGGTACATTCATGTGTACCAGAGATCCGTCTCTATATTTCCAAAGATGGAATAAATTAATTTATTAATTGCCAGAGGCAACCGTAGTACTTTGGAAAAGAAAAGAAAAAACCTACACACTCAAAATAGTCATTAAAGATGAGAATACTGGGCCCCAAGAGCTATAGCAGTGTTTTTTTTTTTTGTTTTGTTTTTTTGTTGGTATTATTATCATACAGTCACAGCCTGTCGTCTGCACCAGTCTGTCTTTGTCATCAGCACTACACTTCCCAGGATCCTTTTGTCTGCTCTCCTGAACTCACTCGCTCATCAGCCACCTGTTCCTCGTTTTGATCATCTGTTTCACCTGTTTCCACTCCATTATGTTTGATTCTTCTGTGTATTTAGTTCCATCTCATTCAGTCTGTCTTGGTCGGTCGATGTTGTTCTTATGTTGAATGTTACTCGGTGAAACCCTGTCTTCCTGCCTGTATTTAGTAATAAATTAGTATCTTCGTGTTAACCTGGATTCCTCCTGTTCCTTCTGCCTGCACTCCACCACCATACCCCGTGACACATACTGTACCTGTCCTACCTGTATGAAACATAGTTGGCCTTGGGACTGATAAAACAAGCAGGTTTTACCTCTTAAGAAATGTATTTTTATAAACTACTGAGTATAAACTACTAAAAACAGAAAACGTAAATAATCTAATAACCTCTCATCATGAGTACAAAACAGAGTAAACTAGTCATTTTAAAGTCTCCCCTTGCCATCTCTAAATAATATTCCAAATTATAACATTGTTTATTATGAAATGCTCTTAATATGCTTATTAATAATGCTAAATGTATGGAAAAAAAGTCTAAAGGCTTAAACGGTCAGAGGCATCTATATGAGAGATAAAAATAATTGTATTCATGGCTTTCTCTTTTTTTGCATTCTTGTGTTCCTGCTACTATTGTTAAAACAACCACGACATCATCTGCAGCTCTTAATATGGCACTTTACGTCTACTAGCGAGAGAGAGAGAAGAAACGCGCACAGAGCGGAAAGGGCTTGAATGAAGCGCGTTTGGCACTGGACAAAAATATTCGAGGATGTAGTGCTGGAAGATTATTACTGTAATCGACCCCCTGAGCACATGTGTGGTGTACAGCACCGTTGTTTTGACGCACTGCTCGCTTTAATCTGTAAAAACGGTCAAATGTGCCATGGCCCAGATGGAACCATTTGAATACTGCTTATATATGCAAACTGCCCAAGCAGCCTACACTATACCATTCAGGTTTAGGTTCAGTAGGATTTTTTTCTTTTTTTTTTTAAGAAATGAAAGAATTCAAAGAATCCTGCTAAAAACGTAACATGGCTTCCACAAAAATATTAAGCAGCATGACAATTTACTGCATTGGCAATACTTAAATATTTTCACAGATTAGCATATTTTAATGAAGGATAATGTGACAGAAGACTGAGTAACGATGAATGAATGAATTTTAAAACATGGTAAAATGTATTTTTATCAAATAAATTTAGTCTTGGAAAGCAGAGGTGATTTTTTAAAAAAGAGAGCGAGAATTAAGTGCAAGTGGTAGTGGTGGTAGAAGTGGTAGTGCACTATATTTAATGCATAGGCCTATCTATAATTTATATAACTGATGTATTTTGGTTTAGTTTGGTTACCCTAAATTATAAAAGGCAGTATCAATAAAGTATTTGTGAGTGTTTCCAAACTAGTTTACTAGGAAAATCAGCAGGAAAATCCAGATAAACGACTGACCTGGTTCTGAGATTCTCCTACCCTGGATTTGGTCTTGTTGAACACAGGTAGTGTACCTGTGATGACTAGGCCCAACTCCTGAGGTCATGAAGAGAACACAGAAAACAATTAAGCGTATACATTTTTTTTTTTTTTTTAATGGTTTGTATGACGTTTATTGAAAAAGGTTGTACCAGAGCGTCCAGGTAAACATTGGTCCACTGCACTTGTTTAGCATCTGCAAGGACCATCGGCCTACTCAAAACATCTAGATATTCCTAAGCAACAGTAAACAACACAAAGCAATTAAATGTGGGTCATCCTTGGACCTTCACATACTCCTAAACAAGAGAAACTATCAAAATAAACAAATCACATTAGAAAAGCTTTGGTGTCATACAAACCTGCGTGTTTATGCGGATGGCTCCAATGGAAGGGATTTCATAGAAATATCCTAGAAAACATAGTGTCATGGTGTAATTTATTGTTTTTTATTTTGCAATCAAATGCTGAGTCTAGTAAAGAGGCTATGAGATATGAGAATTATATTTGTACTTTAGCCACTAGGGGGCAAACATAGACTGAGCAAAGCAACACTTACCTTTGTTAGCACAGGCCATCCACTTTATTGGCCCTGTGTCATAGTTGTGTTGACCAACAGAGAACGTGAACACTCGCACCTGCAATCAAACAGCATAGTATAAAACTTCACTGTAACCATCATGAATAAGTCTTATTTAAATAAATAAGTAATAGATGGATAGATTAGGCATGTTTAAGGAAATTTAATGAATCCATAACAAGTTTATATAAATATGTTTTAGAATTATAACATCTAAATGTAAAAATAATTTGCACACCATCGCAGTTTTTTTATGATTTCAATCAAATCAGTGTATTACTTGGAAAGGTGTATAGACATTACGAGAACGTGAGGAGAATGTGTAATGAGAACCAAACCCGCAAAGTTAAAATCAATCAATTTAATACTAGGAAAATAAATAATGGATAAAACAAATATAACTACATTTTTGTAATACTGACTTTATTTTTTTATTACTTTTCTTTCTTCATATATTGTTTTCTGTATATAAAACAATATAAATTAAAAAAAAAGAAAAAAAAAAGTTATTTTACTCTTTCAGAAGATGCGTGATAGCGCCCCCTTGCCGTATAACAGTGAAAACACGGAAATCCGGGGAAAGAGTGAAAGTTAATTTATTTATTTATTTAGTTATTTGTTTGTTTATTCATTGAGTCATTCATTCATTCTGCAGGGTTGGTGCTCCATAAATGCGTTCTTAATTTTCCTAAAGTAAAAATGTGACCCCAAAGATAGATAGATAGATAGATAGATAGATAGATAGATAGATAGATAGATAGATAGATAGATAGATAGATAGATAGATAGATAGATAGATAGATAGATAGATAGATAGATAGATAGATAGATTTAGACTGATGGTGACCTTCACACGCACCTTTTTGTCAATATTGTATCTGCTGAAGACGTCTTCAGCCCTCTCCTCACCTCCATCAGTAAACAACATTATAATCTTGTTGCAGTTTGCTCTGCTGATGTTTGGCTGAAATGAGCACATGCATATGCTGTTACATAGAATAAACAGCAGAGGTCAGCAGAACACAACAAAACTAAAGCATACTACAAAAATCCATTTATGACTAAATCCACCAAGGATAATATGTAAATGTACAAATCCGTGCATGATCATTTGTTCAGTTGTTTTTTGTTTTTTTTTTTAATTTGATTTAATATTGATTTAATATTGAAAGTATAAAAAATAAGCAAACAGTTTTTTTTTTTGCAAACAGTAAGCAAACAGGTTTTTTTTTCTCGTTTTTGCTTGCAAACAAGCAAAAACGAAAAGCAAGAATTCAGCGTGATGTTTTGTTATCGTTCTGAGGTAGAAAAATTAATAAACCACTTGAATATTCGATTTCTACATGTGGGTGGGTTGATCAAACTGTGTCATCAGTTCTTTCTTAGTTCACACAGCAGATTAAGAGATCCGCTGGTGATGATGAGGTGTGGATTCTTAACGCGTTTATTGTAACTACAATCTTTTTTCTCATCAAACAACCAGACTAATGAATGGCTCGACACAACTCGTACCTACAGGGAAGGGCCTAGACGGGGCTTCATTCTGTGTAGATAAATCTGTGAATACTTCATCAGCTTGGTATGGCAGGGAAGTCCTAAATGACAACTGTTAGCATGTCTTCTACGCCCAGTAAGTTAAAAAAAAAAACATAATAATACAGAGGGGTCAAAAAGTATTTAGTCAGCCACTGATTGTGCAAGTTCTCCTACTTAGAATAATGAGAGAAGTCTGTCACTTCAGCTTAAAAAAAAAATGAGAAAAAAAAAATCCAGGAAATCACAATGTAGGATCAAAAGGGATGTAGAAATCACAATTTTTAAATCATTTATTTGTAAATTATGGTGGAAAATAAGTATTTGGTCACCCACAAACCAGCAATATTTCTGGCTCTCACAGACCTGTAACTTCTTCTTTAAGAAGCTGCTCTGTCCTGTATTATTGGCACCTGTTTGAACCCGTTATCTGTAAAAGACACCTGTCCACATCCTCAAACAGTCACACTCCAAACTCAACTATGGCCAAGACCAAAGAGTCGAAGGACACCAGGAAGAAAATTTTAGACCTGCACCAGGCTGGAAAGCATGAATCTACAATAGGCAAGCAGATTGGTGTGAAAAAAAAAAAAAAATCAACTGTGGGAGCAATTGTAAGAAAATGGAAGACATACAAGACCACTGATAATCTCGCTCGATCTGGGGCTCCACACAAGATCTCATCCCGTAGGGTCAAAATTATCATGAGAACGGTGAGCAAAAATCCCAGAACTACACAGAGGGACCTGATGAATGACCTGCAGAGAGCAGGGACCAAAGTAACAAAGGCTACCATAAGTAACACACTACACCGAGAGGGACTCTAATCCTGCAGTGCCAGGCGTGTCCCCCTGCTTAAGCCAGTACATGTCCAGGCACATCTGAAGTTTACCAGAGAGCAAATGGATGATCCAGAAGAGGACTGGGAGAATATCATGTGGTCAGATGAAGCCAAAATGAACTTTTTGGTAAAAACTCAACTTGTCGTGTTTGGAGGAGAAAGAATGCAGAGTTGCATCCCAAGAACACCATACCAACTGTGAAGCATGGGGGAGGAAACATCATGCTCTGGGGCTGTTTTTCTGCAAAGGGGACAGGAAAACTGATCCGTGTTGATCCATTTCAAGATCCTGGAGTGGCCTAGCCAGTCTCCAGACCTCAACCCCATAGAAAATTTGTGAAGGGAGTTGAAAGTCTGTGTTGCCCAGCGATGGGCCTAAATACCAGCTACAGTGTGTGCAAACCTGGTGAAGACTTAAACGTTTGACCTCTGTCATAGCCAAAAAAGTTTGTTACAAAGTATTGAGTTGAACTTTTGTTATTGACCAAATACTTATTTTCCACCATAATTTACAAAAAAATTCTTTAAAAATCCTACAATGTGATTTCCTGGATTTTTTATTTTTATTTTTTATTTTGTCTCTCATAGATAAAGTGTACTTCTCTCATCATTCTAAGTAGGAGAACTTGCACAATCAGTGGCTGACTAAATACTTTTTGGCCCCACTGTATAATTAATTGTAAATTCAATATTTTAAACATTAATACAACAAGGAAAGAATAATGCATTGACTAGCTTAATACGATGATTTCTTCCCACCGGAGCCTCACTTTCGATTTCATAATGGCGGCTGCGTGAAATCAGCGTATAGGCCTCACATTCACGCATCTAATTTAATATCATTTAATATCTCTGTTGTTCAACCAGAGAGCAGAGAACAACAAAGATATTAAAATACATAAGGTACTCTTCTGAGTTTAATGGTGTAGGCCTTGTGTTTTATTAAAATGTATTAGCCTATCATTTATATCTAAAGGAGCTTGTGGGTGGTGCTGTAAAAAACGCATTTTATTATTAGCCTATCCATAAATAGTGTAAAAGAGCAGTAAATAAAATACAAAATTAGCATTATAAACATTATTAATAACATGTAGGCTATTTTACTTGCTGTAGCCTATGTCAATGAATAAATGCTATTCAGAAAACAACAAGAATAAAAAAATAAATAAGTGGTCACATATAATAAAAATACACAGTAGCCTATAAAAATAGCCTATTGTGCCCTTTATTACAATCAACATTCAGCTTATTTTAAATGCCAAGCCTAACTAATTTATTTTAGTCTAAACTGAAACTACCGACGTTGGGTTCGCGCATTTCTCATTCGGTCCAACATTTTCATATTTGCAATGTAGGTCACATTTGGATGTATTCATGTAAAGAAGGCTTCGTACTTCAGTTGAGTCCTAATAGCCTATAGCTTACACAAAGGCTAAATCAGCATCTTCAAGGGAAATGAATTTGGAAAAAGCAAGTTATGACTGACCGGCACAGCCTTTAGCCTATAGAAAAGATACATTGCAGAATAACTTTTTATATGTTTGGTTGACTGTTTTATTATAATATTGAACAGGCTGCAATGTCAAGTTAATGCGAGAAGTGAAGATAATATGTTGTGCGAGTGCAATGTGCCGGTGTTGTGCCAAATTTCGACTCCCTGCCAAATTATTACCCCCCTCTTGAAGTCAGTACCTGATTGCCTAATCCTAACCCCACTCCTAATCCTAACATCTCCCCCACAACTAATCCTAAACCTACTAATAATAGAGGGGTAATAATTTGTTAGGGGTCAGAATTCGGCACAACACCGGCGCCACACTTGCATTTGTTCCTCAGCTGGGGAAATAACTTAATACTTTGTCGTTTAATACTCTGACATTCTAAACAGTTCAATGTATATTTTTATTTGTGTACATTCAAAATTACTAAAAAATGTCATTTCATTGAAAAATAAAGAAAACAACATGATGCACTACTTTAGCGCGTCTCATTGAACATTCTGGGGCACACCAAAAATGTACCAAATACAGTGAATAGAATAAAGAAAACAACATGATGCGCTGAACATGATGCCTACTTTTGAACGCCAACATTTAGATTATTTTAAGTATAAAATGCATTATATAGTCCTAAATTACTTTACAAAATGTGACTTTACATTCTGGAAAATTTAGGAAAATAGAAATTATTTCACAGACCCCCTGGCACTTGAGAAGTGCTGGTCTAGGCTCTTCCCCGGTAGGTACGGATTGTGTTGAGCCATTCGTTAGTCTGGTTGTTTGATGAAAAAAAGATTAAATGTAGTTGCAATAAACGTGTTAAAAATCCGCACATCATCATCAGCAGCGGAGGACTCTTATTCTGGTGCGCGAACTGAGGAAGAACTGATGACGGCTTATAGTTTGATCTTCCGCTCACAAATCAAGAGGAAAGGGGTATTTCATTCCCACCCATGTGTAGAGATCAAATATTCAAGTGGTTTATTCATTTTTCTACCTCAGACATAACAAAACCAAAACATCAAGCTGAATTCTTGTTTTTCTTTTTTCTTTTTTAAAAAAGGAACTGTTTTCTTATTTCAATATTTAATCAAAAAAACAACTGAACAAATGATACACAGATTGTATCAAACTATTATTTGAACACCATAAAGGGAGGGTGCAGAGTGATATCTTATTATAGACACTTTTCAGCCGATGTGAAGAGTTATCACACAAAGTGTAGATTTTAAGCCTGTTTACCACTGACTAGGGTTGGGTATCGAGAATCGAGTATCGATTTGAACCGGGACTAACTTTTCGTTTTTTCCGGAATCGTTCAAAAGTAAAAATTTCGATTCCTAGTTTCGATATTCACAGTCCGTCGAGCGGAAGAAGAAACCGCTGAACAACACCAACGAAGAAGCGTCTACCGGAAGTGTTGGCATAACCGCGCGAGTCGAACATGAGTACGTCGGCGATCCAAAGTGTGGATTCACTTTTCTAAAAATAACGAAATCTCGGCAAAATGCAAAATTTGTGGCAAAAGGAGTATTTTTACAGAAGGAGTATTTCCTTCAGAAAGGCCGTTGGTTAGCAAGGTTAGCTAAACTTTTTTGACCCTGCCTCTTAAAAGAATCGGAATCGAGAATCGTTAGGAACCGGAATCGAAACAAGAAATCGGAATCGGAATCAGAATCGTTCAAATTCAAACGATACCCAACCCTACCACTGACTGAGACTGAAGTGTCATATGTTACATTTTTTTCAATTCATAGATAGATTTCTTAAATGTAAAAAAAAACAAAAAAAACTCACATTTGAAAGCTGATTGAATGCAAATTCAAATCCTTTGGTATAGTTGGTAATGCCCTTGGCTGTAATGTTCTGTACTGCATCTTTCAAGATCTTCTTATTGCGAACGTTAGCTTGAACCAGGTGGTCGAAACATGCTGTGTTGTTCACTTTTGTGTTGAACTGGAAAAGAATAGAGAGAGGGTGTGAGAGATAGAGAGGTAGGGTAAGGAAGTGAGAAATCATTGGTCTTCTCATTGTTAATTCACAGCAAGACCTTTCAGAATCACAAAAAAGTTTGTGAGACTTAGGAGATCTATATACTGGGGTCAGAAACTGGAGGTGTTTGGTACAGTCAGTGATGAAAATAATTTGAGCTGACAAGCTGGATACCCTTACAAGTTTCTAATTTTCTGTTCAGGTAGGGCTCGCTGTGTTCTGTCACTTATTGCGGCTGACCTCTGTGAACCTGTTACTTCAAAGCAGGAGCGTGTGTGAGGAGAGATTGTGAACAAGAAAAGAGACTTGGGGGGAGGAAAGAGGGGAAAAGGGGGAGAATAAACACAGGGGAAAAAGAAGGATAAATAGTATATGGAATACAACAGACTCTAATTATTCTCAAATAGAGTACAAATCGTAAAAAAAAAATAGAAGATACTTTTTATGGTTTCAACCTCAGGGTGTAAAACTAAATATTATATGAGCAGTTGTATTTTTTGTTCACTTTATATGAGGTTTGCAATCCATGTAAAAACCGAGGGGCATGAAAATGCAATCCATATTCAGTACATATTTAGCATTTTTATGCCCCATGTTTTTACATGGATTACACACATATATATATATATATATATATATATATATATATATGTATATATATATATGGTTGCAAGCCTGTTATGCCATTTTTATTTTTTATTATTTTATTTAATATATATATATATATATATATATATATACACAGTATAACTTGTTGGTGAGAGCGAAAAAATAATTAATTAAATTATAATAATTAAATTAAACATTAATAATTAAAATATATACATAACTTTAAGTTTTTAAATGTTTAAATTTAGTTTTGTACTACAATTGAATTGAATATCAATTCTAAAGATTATGTAAAAATCACGACACTGTTTAATTTCAATTGATGGATATATTCATGAAGCTGAAGAGCTCTAGGGGTGTTAGGCCAAAAACACAATCAAAAGGAGAAGAGCAGACATTGTGTTCAAAATGTACAGTATGCTCAGTTACTTTTAATTTAAATAACAGTTGATAGCAATTCACAACAAAAATAAGGTTCCTATGATGCTTAATTGGAAACCAATTTGTACCTTTTCCAGACACAGCGCCTCTATCCTCAACAATAGGAAAAGTCAGAATGATTAACAGGTGTGAGTCAATTACAGCACCATTACAGCTAATGAGGAGGAGGTATGTGCAAGCTCACGCAAAAATTAAAATGATTACTACTGTATAACTCCAGCTCTCCCCGGGGACATGAAAAAGCACATGGTGCACTTCCTGTGGCATAAGCAAGCAGAACACACCTTGAAGCCTCCCGTGTTTACTGTAGTGCTGAATGTTTTTCTTCTATTTTTAATGATCCAGTTCTTCGTTTTTTTTAATCATGTCAACCTGAAAGGCTTTCCCTGGGAAAGTTTCCCACTCTGAATTTCTCGCCGGACAAAGATAGTTGTCATTAGGAGACATGCGCCAGCCATTGATGTAATTGTGGGATCAGGTGTCCGTGCTCTGTTGAATGAGCAGGATGTCACAGTGTCTGTTGAATGAACCGATGAGTCACGGTTCGATTAGTTGTTCCAGCATTGACTGAATATTTAATTAACGCTTGAAATTATCTCCTCGGAGGCCCCCGTGACTCACTGCTCTCAGCATACGCCGGGTTATAAATAGAGGAATAGGACAAACTGATGATACACAGACCCCTACACACACCAGACGGCACACACTCATAGCGTAGATGGCTTCGATGATTAAAACGAGAGTGTTCTAGTTCTGTCGTGTCATGCCGCTTCCCAGAGGAGGCTTGTATTTCTTGGGGGCTGCTCGTCCATAGCTCAGGGTACTTAAAGAAGTTTTCAGTTGTGTTTAAGATACGCATTTAAATTCCCTCAGGTGCTTCTTCTAAAATTCCTATTGAGAAATAAGAATAGAAGAAAAAAAATAGACAACTGCTTCTATACAGTAATAATTATAACCCAAAAGTGAAGCAGAGGGGTTGTATATCAATCAAAAAATAGTCTATTTAGCAAGAATGATGAACGGTCACGAAAGTTCATGAAACGAAATGCTCATTACCATAACCCAACTCATTTTACAGAGAAAAAAAAAAAAAAAAAAGATTCATAAACTGAGACCGTTATTCCATTGTCCATCTCCAACCAGACGAAGATTGGAAACAGTTTTCCTGCATGACAAACCAGAGTAACCTCAGGGACCAACAAAGCATCTTGCTCACCATTCAATAAAGCTTTAATTTTGCTCACCATTCATTTGTCATTTTGCAAGTCAATTACACTAGTCAATAATTTCCTTTGAAAATCCGCCCCACAGATAAGTCAATCGACATGATGAATCTGGTAGTATCCTTGAACAATTCAATAGCGGTTGCCACAGCACTGCCCTAATAATGAGCTTCAATAACCTTGATCCAATATTTGCCTTCATAAACAACTTAGCAAATATTTATTCGGACAATGACTGAAATTGGAGGTACTTCATTGACCATAAAGAGGAAGACTGTTTATTTCCTTTGCCTTGCCTTCGCTATAAATGTCACATTTGCATGCACCATCTATAATGATTATAGCTCATGTTTTAAGACAAAAGGCTGAATTTGGCTATGCAATGTAACAAAAAAAAAAAAAAAAAGAACAAGCATGCCTTTACTTGTCTTCATAGCCTTGAATATTTTATCATAAATATAAACTTGCAATTATGCGGGATAATTAATAGTGTTAATGATGAAAATATGTGCTTTGATAATAATTTAAATATATTCTGATTATTTGTTTAACTGCAATGCAATGAGTTTAATCAATTTAATTGCATTTCTGAATTTGCCGAAGTGATATACTAAATTTTGATTAGATTTATTTACATATGTATATATGCATTAATGCATTTTACACAATTTTACACGTTTTAAGCAATTGTAATGTGTAACCGCCTGCATCATTCATACATCACACTGTATGAATGACCAAATCTCAATTTCCTTTAACTTCAGTTGGCTTTTCAAAATTGTGTGAAGATTTATGAAATTCTTGGGTTACTGGTATTGTATACTGTATGTGCATCATATTACAAAGTCTTGTTAAAATGAGCAACATTTGTAAGAGACAGTCGAGATCCCCCTTGCTGCATATACAGTACACACATCCAGTATATAGATTACTGTTTAACAGCATATTATGTATACATGTACTGTGCTGTATGCAAAAAGCAGCACACTAGTATTCAATTCCAAACACAGTCTGCATTACAACATTTTCCTTCCAAGTGTTGTTGTTCTTCCTGACTTGGCAGGAATGTATAACATCTCTTGTGAAATAGGTTGTGTGTCAAGCAAAATGTATACAAATGTGCATGAAGTAAGTCTAAATTTGAGTTATGATCAGATAATGGATTTGTCCTGCATGGCTAAAATCATTACAGCTGTATATACCAATCATAATCCTCCTTAGTTTCCCAATTCAGAAAACAAAATAGCCACCACATGGTAGTTTGGTAGTTAGTGATTTATATTGTATATTTATATTGTGTACACTGGTGATCAATAGTCTAAAAACAAATCACTACCACCATATTACAGATTTATAGAATCCGCCAACAAAATGATTAGTCTACCCATAATGCCCACATAGCCCTTATATTTAAAACCGCAGATGCCCTCAAACTACTGATCCGTACAAACACATACCAAATTTGATCTTTGGGTGACTGTGGGTACAGCCTCTTTCTGTTCTCGCTCAAATACACACAAGCACACTCTCACACATACAGTACCCATAACACTCTCGCTACACTCTCATTGGCATACGTTCCCTGAAGCGCATCCTGTTGACAGATCTCTCAGAGCTAATCCTTTATCGGAACAGTGATTCCCCAATGCAAGAAAACCCCAAAATCCAATTTCAAAAGTGAAAACAATAAATTAATCAAACTTTATTTACTGAAGAATAAAAAACATGTATGATACCAAGCATAACTTTTGAGGGAAATATCACCCTGAGTGCAAAAACTGAATGTGATTTATAATTTCAAACCTGTATGGCTTTCTTTTTGCAACTCTTTTACATTAGATTACAATGAATGGACACTGAAGCTTTCAAGCTTAAAGGAAAAGTTCACTTCAAAATGAAAATTCTCTCCAAACATTTGATTTTCATGACCCCATTGACTTTCATGATATTTATATATATATATATATATATATATATATTTTTTTTTTTTTTTTTTCTACAATGGAAGTCAATAGGGTACATCAAATGTTTGGTTACCGGCATTCTTCAAAATATCTTCTTTTGTGTTCAGCAGAAGAAAGAAATTCACACAGGCTTGAAGTAACTTGTGGGTGAGTAAATTATGACAGAATGTTCATTTTGTTCATTCTTTTAACAAAAAGCACAATAAAAGCATTGTAAAAGTGGTCCATTCAACTTGTGAACTTTGTTCCAAGTCTAATGAATTCATCCAACAAGTTTTTGTGAGCAGAAGAAGCCATTATTCACAATTTTTCTCAAGTAAGCTATTACTACTGAGTCAAATGAGATGAACTCTAAAATCAGATCACTGTGATTTGTAAGATCATTCAATTATTTTAACTCAAAAGAATCATTCAGTCATGAATCAGAGACATTGCCATTTCTCTAGTAAAGACTTCAAGCAAAGCTAGAGCTGATGTCAAGATTTTCTGTGAATAACGACTTGAGTTTCTCACGCAAATTATGTACCACTTTTATTTCAGATAATGGTTTCTGGTTTGGCATTATTGTTCAAGTTTGAAAGCGTCAGTCCTTGTTCATTGCATTTGAAAGAAAAAGACCACATGGGTAAAAGCTATTCATGTTTGAAATTTCACAAGAGGAAGTAAATAATGACAAAATCTTAATTTTTCTGTGAACTATCCCTTTAAGTAATAACAACCTCCATCACAAGCATGCAGGTTTGGACATGAGCATCCTGTGAGCTCCTTTGGTCAGAGGAAAAATAAGTTAAGAACAAAATAAGTTAAGAACAAACAGAACCCGAGTGAAAGATCAGCTAGCCAAGATGGATTGGCGGCTCCTTCTGACAGGAATGATATATAGCAATTTCCTCCCTTTTTTCACTGGCCTTCTCTTTCTCACTCAGCCTGATCTCTTCCCTTCACTTTTTCCAGCCATTTTCAATTCAGCACACAGAGCCCAGAAACAGCCTTTTCATTAAGAGCCTGTTTTCAAGTGGCAAGCTGCAGCCAGATCCATATTTCATTACAACTCCTCTGTCTCACTCTATCTTGCACACACACACACACACACACACATACATGATATTACTGTACACCACACAGCAACCTCCAACCCACAGACTATAGAAACTCCTCACTTTAAATTGAATCCAGAGTAACAATGTCTTGTTCCATTTTTACTGTACAGCTGCAGCACAGTTGTCACACTTTTCTGAGATTTTAATCCCATTATGTAGACAGTTCGTCATTTATACACATTTTTCTTTTCAGGCATGAACTTTCTGCAACCATTTTTAGTCATGAAAACTTCAAGCAGTGAAAAAAACAATGTTTATTATTCCCACAGTTTGTGCAAAACCAAACTGAACATAGTTGCTGAGTGCTAGTTGCTTACAATTTTTTAGAATCTGACAGCTCAGTTGTACTGCATCTTTCTTGAAAGAAAGGAACTTATGTGTTTTAATGACATGAAGGACGCAAATAAAACAAATTCCTCATTTCTGAGAGAAGTACTCTAACAACCGTAGTGAAAAAAAGATAGCTTCTTTGTTAATAGAATTTTGCTTGTTTAAAGTGATGAGACGCCAAAATGTTGCTACAAATATTGCTATTCATGTATAGGCTACTCATTTAACAGATGTTAAATTGCCACTATCGAAGCTTACAAATTACCTGACAAATTGTCTTGCAAATTAGGAATATTACAGCAAAAGTGACATCCTAAAAATAGCACCGCTGAATGACAAAGTTCCAGAACAGCTCTGAAAAGTATGGAAATGTATGCGAGGGACTGTGAAAAGCAGAATGAGAAAGTGCATTATTACTATGTACAGTATGCACAGTATTTAAACTATTGCAAGTACATGTTGTGAGTCCTACAGTTGTCACTGCCAAAACTTTGCAGTGTCCCCACGTAGCATACTTACATGGACAACATTGACATAATCATCATCGGAAAGTGTCTCCAGCATTTCACTAACAGAAGTTCGGATCAGTTTAAGGGTCAGTCCAGACACACTTCCGCTCCTGCAACACACCAACAAAAATACCAGTTAATGCCAGTTAAAGAGACAGTTCATCCAAAATGTAAACTCTGTTATTATTTAACAATATTACAGCAATTAAATGACTACAAATTTTATATATATATATATATATATATGAAGAGTTCAGATGCAAAAGCCTCTAAATGCCATTTGAAATTTTCTTCTTTAATGATGATTTTTATCAAACTTGGATATTTAAGTTCAGTAATTTCACTTAAATAACAATTAATAGGCAATTATCATTGCCATTTAAGTGAAATTACTGATCTTAAATATACAAGTTTTATAAAAAATCATCATTAAAGAAGAAAATTTCAAATGGCATTTAGAGGCTTTTGCATCTGAACTCTTCATATATACCCTGCATTGGGTATGGGTTTACATCCCATCCCTGTGCGTTGAGCCGACCAGATTTTTATAAAGTTTTTACAAAGCGGGATTTTTCCCTCCACAGACGCACGTCGGTAAACTAGGAAATGAACTTGCTCTGCCTGGGCGGGTTGGTGCAAATAATCCCTGGTGCTATTTTGCAGTTCCAGAAAACAATTGCGCCAATGACCATAAAAAAACCTGGTCTAAAGTCAGTGGCGCTGCGCATACATTCAGATGATATTTTAAGCGCGCATGCTTGGCCATAATACAGAGTGTGAACAACGTGCATACACTGTAGATGATTATCTCAGCTACACAGATGCATTTTACTTTTTGCAAATTATACATTTTTATAAGGAATATATATAAACATGAGGGAAATTATTAGAGGGAAATCTAAGAGAGTCATATCACATTCCATTTAAGAGCTTGATGAACGAGGTGCGCTTGTTCCATGGCGCATACTATTATAATGGCGCATTTACCAGGCGCGCTTCAGAATCGGTTCACATCCGAGGAGATCGATGTTCTCATCAGGGCTGTAAAAGAAAGAGAAGTAACATTGGGGATGGGACAAACCCACCCAAATTAGCTTCGGTTAAACATGCGTATAATAATTTGGGTAAATGTGTAAGCTTTATGCCTATTTTTCCCATCGTCATGGACAAAGCAATGATTTCCTTCGTGTTTCAATATTTTTTCCTTACTTATAATAAGTTATCATTTGCAAAAAGTAAAATGCATCTGTGTAGATGAGAGAATCCTCTACAGTGTATGCGTATTGTTCACACTCTGTATTATCGCCAAGCATAAAATAAGCACGCTTAAAATAGCATCTGAATGTACACGCAATGTCCCACTGACTTTAGACTAGGTTTTTTTCTGGTCAGTGGGGCAAATGGAACTGCAAAATAGCACCAGGGATTTTTTTGTGCTGGAACACGCCTCCTTTTTTTGCGCTGAACCGCCCAGGGAGCTCAAGTTCATTCCCTAGTTTGCCGGCGTGCGTCTGTGGAGGGAAAAGTCAGCTTTGGACCGGAGCAAAATACAAATGATAAAGTCTTTTTGATTTAAGTCAATTGCGCTGGGTGCAAGATAGGGCCCTTTGAATGCTTCGCTCCTGGCTAGCATTGTTCAATCAAAGTGGCCAATTCTGTGCCCCACGAGGTGCAGGTCCTGTGGATGCCGAGGCAACCCGGTGGCTTCACTTGTGGGGATCTGCAGAAATCTCAGTCAAGGAATAAATTAGATTAGTATTTTCTGCAGTGTGCACCACAACCTCCACGCCGGGGTTTACCGCTCTTTCAGGATCTCGATACTGAGGTACTGAGGTATCGAGATCCTGGAACAAGCCATTTTCAGCCAGGCTTTCTAGTCCTACTGTTCATCATTATTTCATCTATTGTGGGACAAAAACAGAAATGGTCTGTGTCGAGGAAGAATCGAGACGTGAAAGTACGCGTCCTTCAGGTCAATCGCTGCAAACCGCAGAAGAGCATTAGAAAATGCGCTTCTGTGTGAGCATCTTGAACGGGAGTTTGTGTAGGGCCCGATTCAAAATTCGCAGGTCCAGGATTGGCCGTAACCCACCGCCTTTCTTGGGTACAATGAAGTAGGGGCTGTCAAACCCGAACCTCATCTCGGCAGGAGGGACCGGCTTGATCACGTCCTTCACCAGCAGGACATCAATCTCTATCCCTAGGACAGGGGTATTCACTGACCACACACGGTAAAGTGAACGCCCCTGAACCTGGGAGGTCGGCGTGCAAACTGAATTGCATAGCCGAACTGAATGGTGCGGATGAGCCATCGGGACGGACCAGGAAGCGCTAGCCAGGCTTCCAGGTAACCGACCCAATAAGCCCACCCGAACCACCGGCGTACCCACGGAGGGGCAGCAAGGTGGAAGGCAGGGACCCGGCTCCAGTGGCAATGTAGCCACTGGAAGCGAGGTCTGGGCGTGGAGCTCGCCAGAGACCAGCTTCCACCGGGGGGCAGACGGCAGAGAGAGCCCGTGGGCTTTCTGCTGCGGGCTTCCCCATGGTGAGGGGAGGGGGAGAGACGAGGCAAGAGGCCCTACCTTTTCGTGAGCTAGTCTCTGCCCCTCTGGGCCCAGCCGCTGACAGGAGCGACGCAACCGAGGAAGCGTCGCTGCTATCACCAGACTGGGAAGAGGGGAATGGGAGAGATGCTGCTTAGTGACAGTATCCACTGGCATTCTGACCCTCTTGAATGGAGGAGACTGTGTGCCCATCAGTCTCGGCCGAGGATGACCTGAAGGAGGAAGGAGAAACTGCTCTTTTAATGAACTTTTGGGTACCGGCCAGCGGCGGAACAGAAACATTTAAACAAAACAAAAAATTCTCCGCCCGGCCCTCCCCCGGGGAAGGAGGCTTGCAGGGGCACCCTGCCAAAAAACCTGAAGTCCTCCTTCAGGTTGCCCATCTCAGGTTGCGACTTTCATCCACCCGCCTGCAAGTCATGGAGCGCTTTTGCTTGATGGAAGCATTCCTGGTCAGACCAGAGGAAAACCTACAAGCACGGGAGGGGAGTGAAGGGGCACCCCGCCAAGTGGAAGCGGTCTTAGGACACAGCTGCATCACAACCGACTGCTCCACTGGGGGGATTCCCTCGTATCCATACGCTGCTCCGCCGTCCAAGGTGGTGAAGACGGAGAGGCGGGGTTGTCTACACCTGGTCACCAGAGGAGACAGCCAAGACTTCCTCAACTCCTCATGCACTTCAGGGAAGACCGTCAGAGAGTCTTCTTCCCCCAGCTCGTTTATCTTCCAAAGGTAAGGAACAGCAGCACAAAGACACTACTGAGAGGCTCCGAAGAAAAAAGCGCCAATGCAATGTTTACTTCCGCTTTTTATATCCGTGCTAGTAGGCGGCTCGCGGAATACAAAGATTGCATGCCAATTTTTATTGGCTCGTTTTTAATTCTCTAGAAGGCAATTAGGCTCCCTAGCGTGATCCCAATTCGTCAGGGAACTCCCGACGACACGTTGGGGTTCCCAGGACGAAAGGGAACAATTATAATAAAAATTAAGTTAAAAAGAGTTTTGGGCTATAATTTTAGGGCTTCAGGTCATTTTCTCACGCACCAGGGAAGGATTTGTTACAGATATGTGAGGGAAGGAAAGAACAATTCAAGTGAAGATTTATCATTTAAAAAGCACATAATACTCACGCATCAACAAGAATCAGCATGTCCTTGGGCGAAGCTGCACCTTGAACATACCTGGATACAAAGAAAGAAATATTCTGGATCTCTTTCAAGGGAAATTTTAAACTGAGAAAAGAAAAACTAGAAGGTTCAATATAAAAGGGGAACAAATGAAAAAGAATTCAGAGCACACACACAGAAGCGCATATTAATACCAAGGTCGCCGGCGCACATCGTAGAGGTCGATTTTACTGGGTGTTTTCCTGGCATCCATCCAAGGGGAAGCTGAATGTACAGAGACAGAATACGGAAATATGAATGACCCCTGATCTCAAACTCCATTTGATTTGTCACATCTATGTCGTGAGCACATCAGCGAGCCTCACTAGAAACCTGTTTCTGTATCCGGTGGGGGGTGGTTTGTGTTTTATATTGACTGCAGTAAGCCGACATGTGGATATAAGGGCCTTGGTGGCCCCAGTAGAATTTCAGCTTCGATTTTTCTCTTTAACTAAGAAAATAACCTGGTGCAAAAGAGGGTGCTCATCTGTGACTATCACAGCTGAACATCTAACAAGACATGTTTCTATATAAATGGCATCCCACGTTTTGACATTTAGTGAGTGGATCACAGCTGTAAGCGCCAGTAGATAGTCTGAGAAACTGATTTGGTCGTAACAAAGTAATCGACCAGTGTTCTGCCAGCTATAATGAATTGAGATTTACAAGAACATCAATAATTTATAGGCGTTCATGTATCTATAAGGAGACAATGAATGGTTTGGGGCCCACATTTTATTCTATTACAGTTTTAAAGGAATAGTTCACCCAAAAAATGAGAACTCACTCATGTTGTTCAAAATCCTGTATTACTTTTTTTCTTCAGTGGAATACCAAAGTTGAATTTCTGAAGACTATCCCAGCCTCTCCGGTCAATATAATAAAACGTAATGAGGACTAAAGACGGGTGCGATTTATAATAACCCTTTACGATTTCTGCTTGTCAGACTGTACGAACATGATCCTTGCTGAAAGCCATGTCACACTGTAAGATCTCAGTTGTTGTGATTAATAGATTAACAGACGCACACAAGAAAACATTGAAATGGCAGCTACAAAAAAAATTTAAAAATAACGTTAATTTTGATCATTGCTTGTCTTGAAAAAATGAAGACAATTTGACGTCATCGTAGGAGACGTCACACTGCAGGACTGCGAGTCAAATCTTCTGACACTGCCAGAATTTTGTCCGTTATTACGATTATTAATCGCCTGTAGGTGAACATGTTCAACTAACGATCAAAAACGTCTTGGTTACGTATGGTAACCCTCATTCCCTGAGGAGGGAACGGAGATGTCTCGTTGGAGGAGTTTCCAACGATTTGGGATCCCACTAGGGAGACCAATTGCCTTTGAGTGAATTAAAACGAGCCAATGAAAATTGGCATGCAGGACTTTCATTCCGCGCTCCACCTGCCAGTGCAGGTATAAAGCGGAAGCGAACACACATGCTTTACCCTGAGGAGCCAGACAGTGTCAAGTCCACCGCGAAGGTATAGTAAGCATGGCAACGGGTTGAGACGTCTCCGTTCCCTCTGAGGAAGGAGGGAACGAGGGTTACCATACCTAACTGAGACGTTTCCTTTCGCTCAGGAACTCCCACGTCTCGTCGGAGGATTTTCCAATGAATTGGGATCCCTAATAAAATGCCATGATGATGGCGCCTTCCAGCACCCAGCTTAGCTTCCTGCCAAAGCAGTTTCTTAGTTTTCTTAATGGCTGGAGCTAGCTAGGAAGAATCACACTGCTGTTCGGCAAGACCCGCTTAGTGGATTTGGATAACACTGGGAAAGCGTGCCCAACCCGTAGGAGGGAGCGCTGCGGAACCCCTGCCCACCCGAAGGGAGGCACTGGAATGCACATATGTCCTAACCCGTGGGGTACTAACACATGACAGTCCCTGAGGTAGTCCCAGCCCGAGGGGGGATGACAGAACTGGTCTGTCGAGGGGAAGACATGGTGCTAACCTTGGAGGGTAGCTGGAATGTGGAAGAAATGGGTCTTTGTAGGGACCACTGTTAAGGCCACCCAGTCTAGTAACAATTCCTATGAGAGGTAATAGACCTGACGCCGGGCAATCCGCCTTGCCTAGTGCTGGAGGGGTGATGGAGGAACTCATGAGGTTAACCATTTGTTGAGGAACCAACGGAGCAAAAAGACGCACACATCCGGCCCATGGGGCGGGAATGGCGTAGCAAGCCGACACGACCTAGTTCCTCGCAGTACACGGGAGGAAACAGGTTCAACACAGAGGCTATAGAATCTAGCGAACGTGTTAGGTATCACCCAGCTCTACAGCTGTCTGTTAGCGAGGCGCCTTGCGCCAGCGCCCAGGAGGAGGCGACACTCCTATTGGGGCAAGGCGCATTCTGAGACTCATAAGCCCGGGCGATAGCATCCACTATCCAGTGGGCTAACCTCTGCTTTAAGACAGCCTTCCCCTTCTGCTGCCAACGATAACAGACGAAGAGCTGATTAGGGCAGACTTTCCTGTGGGCTCGCGGAGGAAGTTGTGGAAGTCAAAGGTTAAAAGCTTTTCAACTGTGAGGTTGAGGGAGGCCCACCTGACAGACTCCAGATTTTCTACATACTGTAGGATTTGCTAAATTTGTCTCAGACAGCAAAATTGTTGCCAAAATTGTACAGTGTGCACCCGGCTTAAGGCTGTTAAGCCCCGAAAAGAAAAGGAAAAAAAATATCATAATATTAAAGCAGCACTATGCAACTTTTTCAACCTTTATAATATTTTTCCAAAACCCTTTAGATGGTACATCATCTTACAATAGGTTGAATGACAGGTCTGCCATAGCCTGATGTGGTCTGTATCGCTTTTACTGGCACTCTGTAACTTCGGGGAGCGGGTAGGAACCCCGAGCACAAAAAGAACTACAAAATTCGACTGCTTTACGGCATACATCACTTCCCCCACTTTCTAAAATTCCAAAGCGAGAGCCCAACAAGCGTTTTTTTTTTTTTTCCCCCCTCTGTACAGTATGTTGTCATGGCTGAAGCAGCAAGTAAAACCAAGAAGCCAAAGGTTTTGTCGGAGGACAGTAGAACGAGAAAAAGGGAGAGTTGCAAAATAAAAGGCTGAACGAGGATCAATATTGGTCCAGCTTTAGCTCGCTGGCGTGAGCCAAAAGAAGGAGGAGGGGTGCCCGACCGATCCAAGAGGTCCTCGCTCCTACAGGTGAAATTTTTGGGCTACGCCAAAATGAGCGAACGAGTGATTTTTTTATACTAATACTATTTTAAAAACATTAATTTGTAATACTACTCCGCAAAAACGTAACTAAGTCCCCCGACTCTGGTCCGGTAGATCAATCTTTCCCCGCCTAGCAAACGTGAAGCGCGTCAGAAACAGAGCGCGCGCGTGATCAGTTTACTGTTGGTAATGTGTTGTGTATCTTCGTCCCTCACCACATCCAATGTAGACTGCATTGCTTTCTTTTGAGGGCGCTTAACACACTCAAGCATCCCCGTAGAGCCGGGGCGGGCAGCACGCACCAAATCCGGATGTGAAAGTAAACCGATTACTGAGTTTGGTAGGGGCTACATTCTTGCAAGTAAATAATACATGATTAGACGGACAAAATAATCAGTCAGGATAACTATCCTATGTCTGCAGGCTGATAGTAATGTTTGTTATTTATTTGTCTGGTGAAAGTGTCTTGCCTCAGGCTATAATGCAAATCGATTTTTTAAATGTGCAGATTCATTGCAGCTTGATATTATAATATTGACGATATGGCTATTATCTACCACACAAACATTGAATTAGCATATCCATTATGTAAAACAGTAGCCACTAGCCAATAGGTTAACGTTACTATAAAGACGCTGGCTTGTAAACATGAGCTACGCGATCTTTTGACGTTTGAAAAAAATAAGACCCATGAAACTATATTCATATAACATGCAGAAATATGTGCCAATGTACCTGGGATGAAGACATTTCGCATGCAACGCTGGCAGTCTGCCCAAGATGTGAGAACTCCTGCAGAGTTCGGGGGTATCGCTTGTCAACAAATGCACGCGTGTATTCCCTAGTGTAACCATGACAGATTTTACGACAGGAGTAGAAGACAATCCTGTTTCTCAACTGTAGGGGGACCCCGAGAGCAAAATTTCAAAAATGTCGAGCCCGTTCTCATCCCAAGGCATCATATACGACGCTTTTGCCAAAGCGTAGACATCCAATGCACATGGCACCCTTTAGAGTCAAATGAGACGCAGATATATATGGGGCAAAAGACGCCTCCTAGTGGTCTAACCCTAACCCTACCCAATACCTAAACCTACCATAACCGAAGCATGTCATTTGACGCTAAAGGATGCCATGTGCGTTGGATGTCTACAATTTGGCAAGTGTCGTATATGACGCCTTGGCATGAGAATGCGTTGAAATGTCATAATGCTGCTTTAAATGAATACAATTTTTGCACTATAATCCAAGTCTGGATTAGAAGAACACACTAAAATGTACGTTTTTAACTTAAAATACTAACATTTGCTCTTCATGTCGCATTAATAAGAGTTCATGCGAGAAGTAGCGATGCCCTATTTGTGAATCATTCTTCAGAGTCAATGAATCTGGTTCACAAACCCAGTCTGACTGATTCATACAATGATCTGGTTTTCTCCAGTTCAAAGATTCAATGATCGGACTGCAACTGTCAACAGCCAAGTGGAGTGGATGATTGCCAGTGAATCATTCCTCTCACAAAGGTGTTTAAAATGGCCTCTTTTATGCTTTTTTTACATCCTTTTTTTTTTTGAAGATTGACAGCCCCAGTTCCCACTCACTTTTATTATAGTAAAAAAGGATAGTGAGAAAATTATTCCAAAATTCATATTTAGTGCTATACAAAAGAAAAAAAAAGTCACACAGATTTGGTAAAACATGAGAGTGACATAATTTTGGTTGAATTATTCCTCTACACACAACAAACTCTTTTAAAGCCATTAAAAGATAGAGGTTCAACAGATGCTAATGCACGGTTTATATGCAACAGTTTTTTTCTTTTTTCTGAAAGTAATGAAAATTAATTGAGCACCTCATTACTTTTCTCCTCTGTCATCATTCAATTTCAGAAGAATAAAATGAGCCCTCTGCTGAGATATTTGATCTTATAATTTGTTATGAAAATCTGGTGTAATTTGAGCCGGGACTACATGCTATGTTTAGCAATTAGAGATAGCAGAAGCTTGCATAGGGAGGGAGGAGGCTGTGCGTGTGTGTGAGTTCTGATTGTAATATACATGTGTGAATATTTCTGAATTAAAACGACACAAGCACTTACCTGGGTAAAAGCGAGCTAATCCTGTAGCACTGCCAAACACTTGCCATAGGAGCGTTGGATCCTCTTCTCGGTTTTTCTTAAAGACATCTTCCAATGCTTCAGTCCAGTTCAGCTCATTTAAAACAATGGTGGCTGTAGTACACAGGCAATAACACACAAGGTATTGATTAATATTTTAGTTAAATTATTACATTACCTTTACCTTTATCACAACACATGATTCACTGTCACACTTTGAATACTTTACAGAGGTTATGGTGCTTATAGTGACTTATAGAGTCCAGAGAGAGGAGGAGAGACAGAGAGAGGTGTAATTTACCCTCACCTCAACCGCTGTTAACAGATTGATTCTGCACTGCACACTGAGAGCTCTTCATCTCCTCAGCCGCAAACAAGCTGATTGACTTTATTACATCATGAATAAGGGAACCATGGAAACCTATAATCATCCTATCAAACATTTTGCTTCTGAAAAGGCTGCGTGCTGATAGGCAGTCAGAAGTGCTAGTTGAGATATGCTAATCAGGTTAGAAGACAGCCTGTGTGTCAACAGTTATTGTAATGAAGCATGAAAAATTCTGTGTTATAACAACCATAACTTTAGTTTTATTGGCTGGCATGCAACAGAGGCAAAAGGGCAGGGCTGAGAAAAGAAAAGAGAGGAAGGAAATGAAGCATGCAAGACACATTTTCTTGAGCTTTTTTCTCAAAAAAAAAGACTGATCAATGACTTAGAGAGAAATTGCAGCTTGCACAATAAATCAGGTAATGTTCAAAATGCATCCATCCATCCATGCATCCATCCATGCATCCATCCATCCATCCATCCATCCATCCATCCGTCTGTCTGTCTGTCTGTCTGTCTGTCTGTCTATCTATCTATCTATACTGTACATAAGTACGATGTTTTTTTTTTGTTTTGTTTTTTTGTTTTTTCATGAAAATAAGTAAAAACTTGATTCAGTTAAATCAGAATAGACCATTACAGGACATTTGCAGTACATTACAGTAAGTTTTATATACTGTCTATAGTGGTCAATCTTACATTTCTAAAGTGAAAATATATTGAATTCAACCATTTTGTTTTTTTTTTTTTTTATAAAAATTATGAAATAAAATATCTCTGAAGTAATATAATTTGAAGTATTGATTATTTCCTCAACCTCCACTTCTTATTACATCCATCATTTTGGATGTGAAGGAGAAGAAATTTGCTGGCATCCACTTTGAATTGTCTCTCTTAATCAATGTTATGTGTTTGCTTTCTTTTTTTTTCTTTTTTTGGTGTTGGCTGACTGGCAGAGGGTCTCCCACCCTCCCTTAGCAACCCCTAAACGATATACTACTTTATCCACGGAAATCCAATTTTCTCCCTGGCGGGAGAGGCAGATACGTGTTATTTCTGTATGTGTGTGTGTGTGTCGATGGTTCCAGACTATTTGTGGTCTTTAAATGTTTGATAGAGGTTGATGTGTGCAAACTTTGCTTTTAGGGTCGCTGTAGAAATGCCAATAGGTTCTCACTGCCTAACATAGAATAAACAACCTTTGGAATGAATGAACATATAGAGACTCCAGTAATATTGGACATTACACACACACACAACTGTGTTTCAGCACAGAGTAGGAGTCTGGCCACAAGCTCGATTCTACACACGTATCATGTTTCCTTCTGGCACAAGGTCAGGTCAGACCCAAGGCCACAGCAATTACAGCTCTAACCTTTTTTGCCTCCCATCCATGTCTCTTTCTGTCACTTGGTTATTTTCCATCTCTCCCAGTATTACAGTAAATATAAAAGTTTAAAGTTCACCCAGAAATGAGAATTCTGCCATCATTTACTCACCCTATTTATTTGAAGTTATCTTATCCATACAATTAACATGAATGGCATAGAAATGGCAAAAACCTCAAAATTACATTAAAAGTATGTATGCGACTTGTAAAAGATGTGCAAAGCTGAAGTCATTATTAAAAAAATAAAATATATATTCCATATCCAAATATCACTCAAGACCTCAATGAGAGAAACTTATTTAAAATATTAATATTTACTTTTAATATACAGATATGTGATCAGCTATAATAACACTAATAAATTATAATAATAATAATAATACAGTATTCTATGATTTCTGAATTGTCCAAGAAGAGAAGTATGAGCCACGTAAATCACAAAAATCCTGCGTTTTATATAGGCACTACATTTATTTCTTATATTTATATTAAGCAAACACAGCAATTTTTTTCACGGATTTACGCATTTTACTTGGGTCATACTTCTCAGGTTGGAAAATGTGGAAATTAACATAAACAGAGGAATCACATTACTAAATATAATAATATTTTTAACTGAGTCTGGGGGATCCCTAAGTCTTTAAAGTCCCAAAACACATGCTTAAATCACAAAATTAACAAATAAATAATAACCAACAAGCTCACAACCGCAGATATCCAGATGAAACAACCCTACCCAAAAAGCCTGTGTAATGACTCACACATAAAATTAGAAATAGCAATATAGGATTAGGAAATGACTCACAGATAATTGCATAAAATGGTATACAATTACAAGACAAGTGACAAGGAAACTCCATTCTTAAATTGCAGGGGCAGCCACCTCTGCCAATGTGTGCTGGAAAGACTTTAACTCACTACTTAGAGCCTGAAGCATCACTTGGTCTGATTTGGTATTCTTTATTTAAAAAGCAAGCAAATGCATCCCCCATATAACATTCTGCTCGCCACAGCACGACTGTCTGACCTGATGTCATTTCAAATAGCCTGCTACTCTGTTTACCAAAGGGCACAATGGCCAAAGTAATTACCTGAATGTATTTGCCTTTCATTTGTGTGCATGGGTGTGTGTATGGCAAGGCCAATAGGGAAGGGCCGTCTAACACCAAAGAGCAAGACGCTATCCCAGCAGGCCAACTGAGACACTATGGCTTGGTCACCCTTCTATCCCTGCTTAAAAACCATTGAGAAAGCACATACAGTTTAAACAGATGCGCACGCATACCGTGGGTTTATCCAAATAAGTGCACCTGCACTTATTCTGACAAAAGTTTCCCCTGAGAGTCTTTGCTGCTGTCAAATAGATTATATAATTCTCCTCAAAACGCTCTCACAAAGACACACTTACTCGGTTTGTTAACTGACATCCAAAGAAATCAGCAGCAGAGCATCTCATCAGATTCCCAGCAGTAGATAATATGTTACGGCGGAGCCGGCAGAGTGTTATGGAAGCGTGTCTGTGGGGGATGGGGGAGTACTTACAGCCATCATATATGTCCGTAGGGATATGCACACCCGTATAGTTGTAGGAGGTGAAGCGGTTTTTGAATGACGGGTCTTCTTTAAATTCAGGTCTGATCCGGTTTTTCCTTCCTTCGGTTTCATTGGCATCAAGCTGAAAGGAAAAACAACAAAATAAACAACTCTGGTACAATAGGTACAGCAGATTGATATTATTTTTAATGCAATAGGCCTATATATATTTTTTATTTTACAATTGTGTGCTCAAAAGCTTACAAACTTGCAGAATCTGTGACAATGTTAATAATTTGGACAAAATAAGACGAATCATAAAAATAAAACGCATGCTATTTTTTTTTTTATTTAGTACTGTCCTGAATAAGTCAATTGTTTGTAATGAGCACTTAAACTGCCCATTCTTCTTCAGAAATATCCTTTAGGTCCTGCACATGTTTTGGTTTTCCAGTAACTTCTGCATATTTGAACCCTTTCCAGCTGTTAACGTATGACTTTGAGATCCATATTTTCACACTGAGGGACAATTGAGAGATTCTTACAAAAGATGGGAACATTCACTGATGGACAAGAAGAAAACGGGGAGTGTAATTTAGTTTTTTTTTTTATTGGATGATTGTGGTAAATGTGAATCTGTAGCACCTGGAAATGAATACCTATAATATTTAACCAAAACTTTAACCAAAATAAGACCTTGCACATCATCATCCTGTTCAAAAGTTTTCACCCCCAGCTCTTTATGCATCATATTTCCTTCTTGAGCATCAGCTAATGTTTACAAATTCACAAATTGGAGTCACCTTTTGTGTTCCACAGAAGAAAAGGTTGTATGGGTTTTGAACAATGTGGATGAGTAAATGATAACAATACCTGATAGATCAGTTTGTCACTAACCAAAACCCAACACAATATATATTCTAACAAATAAATAACGTTTGGCACAGTTTACATCAAATATCAATATCAAAATTAATTTCTTGCCAATTCATCAATTAATAATCATCTTATAATGCTTTGTATGGCAGGTGCTCTATATATTCTGATGAATAAAACCAAATTTTTTTCTATAGGTCCCTTCTTCCTGTTCTTTCCCCTTTTACACACTCTAATGCACAAGCTCCCTCCATGTGTTTTACACACACTAATTGGCATTTGAGATATATGGTGCACTAAAAGTGTACATCCACCAGCCGAGCGTGCATCAACCGAGAAGAAGGTACATTCTGATAATTGCTTGCCTGTCTAAAATAACTCATTCATAAAGCTCACTAACGCATGGTCATAACTGGACCGAAGAACTTGTGGCATTCATGTTTTATATAGTATCTGTGCTTGAAAAAAATGAGTGTGTCTGTGAAGAGTTGAATTATATACTCACATTATCCTTGGCATTAAAGTAAACTATATCATTGTCCTGCAGAGAAAGAGGAAAAATAAGAACATTGAAAGAAAAAATAATAATTTTTCAAAAGTTTAGAAGCAGCATTATGGCAAATATGGGGTTCAAACCTGAGATTTTTTTTGGTCTGGTATAGCATAACCATTTTGTGCTATTGATGAACCATTTTAATAATCTAACTTAAAGAACCTTTAGTACAATGGAAAGGTTCCATGTATTTCAAAGATTCTTCATGGAACCATTATAGATGTCAATAAAGAACCTTTATTTTTAAGAGTGTATATCAGCCCAAATCTTTAGACCCGTACAGTATTACTTATAAAATCTACCCATCATGCAAATCATGCAATGACAGTATCACAGTACTAAGCCAAGCATACATTCAACATGTGTTCCACAGATGTTAACATTTGCTTCGTAGCAAGTGTGAAATGCGTCAGGGAGAGCTAAAGAAAGCTTGGTCATGGCAGGTTTTACAGAAAGTGGTCAGGATAACCTGCTGATGTTAAACCGCTCTTCTGTTAAGGCTAAAGGCCTTCACGGCATATGGTGGGTATGCATGAGGATATGTGTCTACAGTAAAAATAAATCCGCGAGAGAAATGCAAAATGTGTATTCAGTAAAATCAAATCTTATTCAGTAAAATCTGCAGGGAGTGTGGGTGGTGAAGTTAAATCCATTAAGCTGCAACACATTCTCTCACTTAAATACAAACTGAAATACACACAAAGGGAATCTGGCCATTGTACAATCCATTTTTTTTCTTTATTTGTTTGTCAATTCCATTTATTGTAATGAAACTTGATTTCATTTAATTAAACGAAGAGGTCTAGCACACCAAAGCATTTAAGCAGTGAAATCGAGTGAGGTATTATCAATTTCAAAAGTGTCTCCTACTGGCTGCCTTCATGTGGAATGATCTAATTAAAAATCTGCATAATAAGTCAGATTTTATTCTTGTGAACAAGTCAGTCGTCTTCCGCTACCTAACATAAGGCAATAAGCAGAATGTAAACTGATACACTTTTTTTTTAATGTAAGATATGATGTTATGCATGTTATCTAGTCACATGGTTGCATAGTGACAAGTCACTTGTGAGTAGATATGGGTCATGATGGTTGACTAGTCATCCAGCAGCCGGCAAGTTAATTAGGTGGGCTGGCTAGTTTATTTTGATATTTTTAACAGCAGTGTTTTAATTAGTATGCTGACCGTTGGCTTTTTACAGTAAAACCCTCTCAGAGAAGTATTTAAATTGATGCTCTTTAAAGCACCAGGCTACACCTAGACACATTCAGGCAGATGTCTATGGCCTTTTGCATTGCATTTCTCTTTGAGCATGTACATTTAAAAATAGCCAAAGTCTCGAGATCACATGCATTCTATTTTATCTAGCTATTTTTAATGCAAGAATGTCTTGTGCAAAGTGCAAACTATACCCTAGAAATGTGGGATGCATGGCAGATTCAATTATGTATTCAGTTCAGTTTCAATTTATTTGTATAGTAGCACACTAACATAGTACATCAAATACTACTTGGGTTAAGTCGGTAGCTCAAGGTGGATTATTATTTTACTTTCTGATAACCTTCCCTGAGTTTATTTTGATTCAGAAAGATTTCGATTTTGCTTGGTTTATTTTCCACATATCGGCAGGCCAGGAATTTCATCAATCCCCCTGCTTGGCGCATTAATCGCTGCTAATGCGTCTATTTACAATGTGATTGCAACGTTAAATATTGTAATCTATCACAGGGATGTCTGTTGAAAGTAATAATCTGAGGTGTTTAAGTTACCAATATCCCTTAAAACACTTAAAAGTTTCTGTTTAGTAACAGTCCTATATGCTCACAAAAATCAGTGAACTTGTGCTGAACTGACAGCTTCACTGATTAAAGTGCGCTCGTTGCTTTCAATCACAATTTGATGAAAAGTTATTGTGGTTTGTGAGACTTTGGGACTTTTACTACTTCATGGATTCGTACAAAAATATATAGATAAATTCAAAAGCAAAACCTGTAAAATAAAAAACTAAAAAAAAACTATATTAGGGAGTGAAAATGGGTATTATGAGCCAATAAGTGCTCCTCTGTCGCCTATACTAGGCTACTGGTTATAGTGTCTTTTTTATTTGAAAATAAAAGTGTTTTTACATCAAATGTTATAAAGATTTTTATAAATTTGTATGTTGTCTGGTCTTTTTTACCCACAACATTGATTCTTTGGTTGGGAGTTGATGAAGTGGTACTTGAGCCTTATTGATGGGGTTGTGAGGTAACACAGGTTGGGAACGTTATAAACACACCTTCAAAAAAAGCTATACTGGTGTGCATCTTGAGATAAAACAATGAAACTCACAACTTAAAACAGCTCAAACACGCATTTTAGTTTGGGACAAGACTTAAGCCTTGTTTGTGAAACCGGGTTGGAAATCAAATAGAATGTAATTCTATGTGCTGTAGCACCTTTTAAGTGTTCAGAACACGTGTTATAGAAAAACTTACTTCAAATTCATCTTTCCATTGATGCTCCATTTGGAATTTCTCAGCTGCAGTTGCCAAAGTCTATAAAAAGAACAACAAAAAAATAAATAATTTAATTAGTTAATAACTGAATCACACAATCATGATCAAAGCAACTCTGATAATGAGATCGTAAATTAAACATACAACATGAATTGATAAAGCAGGATTATCTGGCTTACTGTGTATGTGCTTTATAGTTCGTTTTTTTTTTTTATTTCATTACAATTAAAAAAGTTTAATGAACATTCTACAGGATTTAATAACCTTGGTCATCAAAACAATTAGACTGCAGCAAATGGAGACAGTTAGCTGTCATTTAATTAGTGGTCATTTAATGAGTACTAGTTTAGAACAGGTGCATACAGTACCAATACTTAATATATTATCTCTAAACTAAAGAATTTTGTTCAGGCAGTCTTGGTTCTTGCCCAAAAGGTGACACCAAACAAACATGTGGGCAAAAGGTCTAACAGGATGGTGGGTTCTGTTTTAGAAAAGGGCAGAAAAGAATAGAACAGAAGAGAATAGAACATTCTTTGTTCTGTCACCTGCAGCTCTGGCAGTGCAACCCCCGCACACACAGAGTCTGAGACTCTTCCCTGAAGGAAATGGTACTGTAACATGGTATGACATTTCAAGAACAAAGACAGGGATTCGTGAGTCCTCACTCTTTGACACACAATGTTTTAGAATCTATGTTGGGATTTTTCAACTCGGACAGAACAGAATGAATTCTGGCACTATTTTCAATTACATATGAAGAGTTCAGATGCAAAAGCCTCTAAATGCCATTTGAAATTATCTTCTTTAATGATGATTTTTATCAAACTTGGTATATTTAAATTCAGTAATTTCACTTAAATAACAATTAATAGGTAATTATCATTGCCATTTAAGTGAAATCACTGAACTTAAATATACAAGCTTGATAAAAATGATCATTCTAGAAGAAAATTTCAAATGGCACTTAGAGGCTTTTGCATCTGAACTCTACATATATGACCATGGTTAACCTAAATCTCAAATGTGTAACTTAAGAGAAAAAAAGAAAAAAAGAAAAGAAAAAAAAAACAACAAAATCCCAATGCTGCGCAGAATATATTTACATTTTGAAGCAGTATTTTAGTTTGCGATATTGTGACAAAATTTCTTACAAAAGCATTTAATATCACATTGCAGCCCAGGTAGAAATAGTTTCTTAGTGTGAAGAATACCTTCCTGGAACATATTATGTAGTGTTTATATATATATATATATATATATATATATATATATATATATATATATATATATATATGTATGTATGTATGTATGTGTGTGTGTGTGTGTGTGTGTGTGTGTGTGTGTGTGTGTGTGTGTGTGTGTGTGTGTGTGTGTGTGTGTGTGTAAATCAATCACTCCATAAAAAAGAAAGTCACAGATTCATTCATTATTCATTCAGTTAGTTAAAGTCACTAGATTAGCACATTGTCTCACTTTATCAGTTGTAACATACACTAGTTAATTACTTTTAGTAGCTAGGTTTACTGTATTATAGCTATTTTAAATAACGAACAGCTTTTATAATTTTAATGTATTTTTTCCAACATAGATTTTGACACAGGTGCGGAGTTAAAGTTGACATAAAACGAAGGTTGCGATCAGACTTTCTTAACTATTGCGATGTATATTAAAGTGAAAGGGCTTCTTGAATGAGGAAAAAAAATAGGGTGGGACTTGATTTGAATTGATTGGATCAATGGATCGGATCAATGGATCGTTGTTTGCTATTGCTGTGATCTCATGTGATTGACAGGTTGCTGGAGGAGTGAGGTTATTGTCTTGCCCCACATCAGTGAACATGTCATCAGAGAAGGAATGCCATGCAGTAGCAAGAAAGAGGGAACATTATTTTGATCAAAGATTAAGGGCACTTGAATTTTTAAAAACCAATGATGTGCATGGATAAATCATTTATAATAACCCTTCCAATATTCCATAAATAAAGAATTGTCTAATTTGATTTCATGGTGAATTAAAAGCAAAAACGTAAACTGCCCATGTCAATATTCACCCTTACAAGTAAATACCATGTCAGAGCAATATTGCAGAGTTATGTGAACCGCTCATGTCATAAAAAGAGGTTGTCATGCTCATGGGTCATATCCCAAACCCATTCCCCTTAACGCTCAGTCCACGTTCCAGTCAAATATTGACTCTCTAACAAAACATATAAGTAATTAAATGAAATTAAATAAATAAATTTAACAATTCAGTATGTAAATGCACAATTATTTTTGGTTAGCATCTGGCAATGAGCTCACCCTGTCTTTCAAAGAAGGCTGTGTTTCTGAATGAGTAAGTGTCAACAAACATTTAAACACATTTCAGTCTATTAATCAGGTTTCTGAGGTGTCTGGAACTTGCTTTGTTTCAATAAATGGTCTGGTTAGACAAAGGGAAGCCTTGGGTTGTAAATGTTAAAGAGCCTGACTACATAATTCATCAAACTCTTATTTCAAAAGAGCAACTCAAAATAAAAAAAAAGATGATATGACAACTGGATGGAATTATGTGAGCTTTATTCACTTTAAAGGTCTCTTGATTTGTAGTGTAGCAAAGGCTGATGTTTAGTAATGTGAGCTAGCGATATAGCCAGCACAGCCTTTGCCTTAAATAAACCAGTCTATCAGATCTCATTAGAAACCCCAAAACCTGCCAACCAACCCAGATATACCTGCAATCAACAGATACTCTCTCAATAAAGCCATTACTGCTGTGAAATCCAACCCTTCAACTTTGTATAATTGTGCATTGCCCCACTTTTGAACCCCAAAAAGTTCTGTAATTTTATAAGACGGGCAAATGTGGGCTCGTAAGGTAGGCCGTGGAGCTAACAAAAGCATTGCAGATGCAACTCACTCCAATCTGCAACACCTCGCACAGTTTTGTCAAAAACCTTTACAACAAAATGACACCCATCTTCGAGGCAAATGTGGGCTCGTAAGGTAGGCCGTAGAGCAAACAAAAGCAACTCACTCCAATCTGCAACACCTCGCACAGTTTTGTCAAAAACCTTTACAACAATGACACCCATCTTCGAGGCAAAAAAAAAGTGCACGTCAACCTTTCTATCCAGACACTATGGATGCTGTAGACGGGCACTCGCACACATTATTAGAGTTGGAAGTCTGGGCTGAGATCCAGCAGTCTCTGCACCTCCTCTGCACAGTCTGGGAGAAACTAAAAATACACTGTTTCACACTTTGGCACGTACACATTTACACATGCACCCAACGCTTGTTAAGCAGGATATGTAAGACTGCGTTCAGTTCAGACTAACCTTACTCCTATGACAGTAAAACCAGAGAAATGCAAAACAGCAAGTCATTCATACTCGTACAAACTAACTACAATTATAATACAGCATTAGCGTGGCGACAAGTCAATATATGTCCACGGTATCGACGGCTTGCTGCTGCCATAACAACGGTTTGCAGGAGAGACTCATTAGTGGCCTGTGGTCATTATAGAGGTCCTTAAGAAGTAAAGGTGCATGGGGTTCATAATGGAAACTAAGGCTTAAGCATTTCTACTGCTCGTTATAATAAATCAATTCCTCACAATAAAGATAATGAAAGACGGAAGGTGAGATTTACATTCATTCGGATGTTCCCTGGCAAATAGTAAAGGTTGAGAGTTGAACTGATATGAACTCTAATTTCTGCAGCCACACAGCGAGAATTCATCATCCTCGGATGACAACTAGGGATTGTAATGAGTAAAAAACCAATAGGAGATACAGCGAAACACACAAAAAAGGCTTACAATTGGCATCAATAAACGAAAAGAAAGTCTCTTAGGATCAACAAGGCTGTTTTTATTTGATCGAGGGGAAAAAAAAAGTTAAAACAATATCATTACAATTAAAGATACATGTTTTCTCTTCTAATAAATGTAATTTACGTGCTTCTCAGCAGCCATTACTCCATTCTTCAGATTCACATTGTCTTCATCTACATTTGGACCTGAAGCGTGACAATTAGTTTCGTTCAAATTTTCAAGTTGCTTCATATTTAATGTTAACAGATACAACTTTTGATCTTAAAGTCCCCATGAAATCAAAATTGACCATACTTACTTTGTTTGCCTAAATTGATCGTTTTGTGGTGAACAATTCATACATGCAAGTCAATCCACAAAAAAAAAAAAAAATTGGCTTCGTAATCTTTAATCAAATTTTGAAAATGCCCCTCCCCTCTGCATTAGAGGACCTTGCTCGATGACGTAGGCTTTACGGTTTGGGTGTCTCCTTAACATCCATAACCACACCCCTCCAACTGACAGCTGCTGTGTGTTTGCGAGCGCCGAGCGAGCATTGATTGACAGCGTGTGTAAACTTGCGTCATCCTCCATTTCAGAATGAAACACCCATTTTTCTAGATCCAATCAGGTGCTAGTTGGAAAAAAAGCCACGCCCACTATTTTGCCTCATTTACTATTCTGTTTCTCTCGGAAATATGTCACAACACTGGAGAAAAATCGTTTGCAACTTCTGGTTCACGGGGACTTTAAAGCTACACTGTGTGATTTTTACCCCCATCTAACGGTGAAAAGGTATATCATCCAGTGAATATTAGTTTCTATTCCTCTCAATTCCGATTTCGTTTTAACTCCTACGGGGGCCAATGTAGTCCAAGATTAACATGGCTTCCAGTTCGACCTCGTCCATGAGCGTTAACTCAAACGTAAACGTGAAAGGCGAAGCTTGAATTAATGGGTATGTCCCTCTTTGGTTAATGTACTTTGAAGATGGAGGGGCAACATGGCGACCGACAGTAGAACAATCTACATTAATGAGCACATACATTTTTGAAAGAACTAAGCGTTTTTAGCTAAGAATAAACTAAAAGAGTTACACAGTGTAGCTTTAAAGATGTAGTAGTACATCATGAGATTAAACGTCGCTAAAATTAATAAATGTGGTAAAACTTTAATTTACAGTGTCCTTGTTACAGGTTACATGTAGTTACTGTATCACTATTTTGCATAATTGCAAC